GCCAGAGGGGCAGCTGGCTGTGGGTCTCTGGGTCTCTGACTGCAGAGGAGGGGAGGGGCAGCAGGCGGGGCTCTGTGGGGGGGCGGCAGGCCTGGCCATGGGAGGTGAGAGTGGGCCCACTGTACCGCACAGGTAGGCCTGGATGGAAAGCCTTCCTGAGGCAGGCCTTGTTCCCCCTACAAGGCGCTCGAAGGCGTTCATCAACTCTCTGAGAAAACATTCCTGTGATATTTAAACCAGAGCCGCCTAGACACCCAACAGAAAGGAAAACCTTAGGGAATTAGGCCGTCCTCCGTCCTCGGCCTGGCACAGGAGTGGACCGGCTTCCCCTCTCTCTCTCTCTCTCTCTCTCTCTCTCTCTGTCCCTCTCTGGTCAAATTAAAGAATAAGTAAATAGGACCAGCAGTTGGCGTAATGGCCATGCCGCTGGACTCCCACGTAGTCGACCGTGGTCTGAGTCCCAGATCCCGTGGCTTAAACTCACGCCGGGCGCGTGTGCGTGCGTGCCCAAGATCCCGAGAGGAGAACGGAGGAGAAGGGATTGCGGCGTGACCACCCCCCCGGGGGGGGATTTCTCGCTCTCTGTCTCTCTGTCTTTCTCTGTCTGTCTGGAGAGCACATGTGCCCTATAGCAAAAAAAAAAAAAAAAACAACCTCTCCAGAAAAAGAAAAGTAAATAAAGTTAAATAAAATAATTCTTTAAAAAAACACAAACCACAAGGCAACTGTCGTGGTGCACTTCTGTGAGGGGTCCTGAGGGCCTCCTCTTGGCCCGATGCCCCTCAGAAGAGCAGCAGAAGAGCCAATCCAGGCCCCACAGACTCTTCTGCATCTCCAATTGTCTCAGTTGTTGGTTTTTGTTTTTGGTAGCTTGCCACAGAGTGCAAAGCCTCAGCCCCCTCTCCTCCATCCTCCCCTCTCAGGATTTTGGGCATGCATGCACACTGACGTGACTTCTGAACTGCCGGGTCCGGGACTCAGACTGCTCACTTGGCCGTGTGGGATCCAGCGTCTCAACCTCCATGCCACCCGGTTCCCGATGTTTCGGTTGTCTGATTGTGCACTGGCAGAAAGGCGAGGCTTCCCTCTCCCCCTGGCTCTCTCTCACTTGGGCGGAGGGTGTGGGGCCCACAGCAAGGATGGGGTGGGCTCCCCAGGCCCTCTCACAGCAGGTGCGCACCTCTGCAGGACCCTCCAAGGGGGTGCCAGACCAAGACGGGAAGCTGCCAGCGAGGGCACGGCCAGCGGCCCCCTGTCCTGGCCGAGATCACGGGCAGGTGCATCTCAGGCCAATTGGCTAAGCCCTGGAAATGCCCACAGGTCACCCTCCTGCCGGGTGGGGCCACCAAAGGACACAGGAGTCGGGACCAGCAGAGTGGCGTCCAGGGGACCTGAACTCCCTGGCTGGCCATCTCCTGCAGCACTGAGCAAGCCCCTTCCACCTGGGGCCCTTCTCGGGGGCTGGCTCCCCAACTGCTGCTCACCTGCCAGGCTTTGAGTGGGACCCGTGGCACGGCGGCCAAACTCCTGATCAGAGCCGAGAGCTGGTCCCGGGCCGGCTGGCTGCCTGGCTGGCACCAGAGGCCTTGCAGGAGGGAGGAGTTGACCCTAGACAGAACAAGGGTTCAGGAACGACCCCTCCTACCCTCAGCCTTACCTGTGGTGCGGGGCCGGGACCAGGGCAGCTCAGAGGGAGGGTGCAGAATGGGCAGCTGAGCCAGGGCCAGACCCAGTGTCTCCTCAACACAGAGACCAAGCACCGGCCCACGGTCCCCACCACCGCCCCTCCTCAGGGGCCCCAGCCCCTCCCACTCCCAGGAGCAGGGTGCTGGGTTTCAGGCAGCCCAGGCACTGGGTCTGTGGCCCTCCAGAGGCCAATCTTAGCTGGCTTTGAGCTTCCTGCCCTGCTGTACCATGGGCTTCAGAGAAGAGGCCTGAGTCCCTGCCAGTGGCCTTTGGCTAAGTGCCCCCCCCCCAAAGGCTGCTCACTGCAGCTCCACTGGCCTTGCCTAATTTATCATGTGATCTGTGACCACCGACCACTGGGCGGGCTAAGGGTAGCTGCCCCACTGAGGAACTGTCCCAGCCTCAATTGGAGGAGAGCGGCCCAGGGGCTCAGGGTGGCCGGGCGGCGTGGCCTGGAGGCCTGATGGGGCGCCAAGCTGGCGTCTCCCAAGGTTGGGGCCTTGGTCGGTTGGGCCTCTCGCCTACCTGGCCTGGCCACTGTTGGTGACGGCCTGAGGACCTGCCTGTGGACGATAACTCAGGCACCTTGGAGATGAGAGGGCCACCCTGCTGGCTGCATCTGGCCTCGGCCGGATCCCAGAGAGGGTTGCTCCCCAGGGGCTGGCAGGCCACGCCTCGCCCCCTCTTCTCCCCTGAACTGCCACTTGATTTTCAAGCTTCGAGGGGCAGGGAGGCCAGCACTCACCTGGCCCACAGGTCAGCCCCTCCAGCGTTCAGTCCTCCCTGCAGGGAGCCGTCACCCCGGTGGTGGGAGTGGCAGGCGGTGAGGAAGAGCAGGAGGGCGAGGCCCGGGCTCAGCAGCGCACCTGGAACAGAGCGGGCTGTGGGCGCCTGGGCGGGAGCCTGCGCACACTCCACACTGGCCTGGGGCCCGTGTGGGGCCCCCGAGCACAGGTACCTCTGGAGGCCTGGGGGCCTCACAGCCCTGGTCACCTTTGTGCACAGGCCGGGCCTCGCCATGTGTGTACACATGAGCTGCTCACGTGAGGTGCACACATGTGCTGTGTAACGGGGTGAGTGGGTGATGCCTGTGCCCCATGCCCCAACACGGAGGCGGAGGCCACCCTGCCGGGCCTTCCTCAGACCCAGCCTCTGCAGGGGGCAGTGCTGCGTGGCAAGCAGCCCAGGCAGTGGGTCCAGGAGCCCCATCCTGCTGGCCTGGCATTCAGCAAAGCCTCTTCTCCAGTAGCAGGAGCCACACGGGGGCTTCGCTTCACCACGTAGCTGTCCACAGCCCAGGCTTCCATGGCAGGCAGGCCCTCTCAGGGAGGATGGGGTGCTGGGTGGGTGCCCCTGGGCTTGCTCACCCAGTGCTCAGTACCCTCCTCCTCTATAGCCTGGCCCGGGTGCCCAGGAGCTTGTGGGAGCTGTGGGCACCTCGTACCCTGCCAGCCCCAGGAGCCTGGGTCAGGAAGCGGCCACTCCGACCCATGTCCATGCCTGTCCTGCCTGCTCCCCGCTGGGACCCCAGGCCTGCCTCACTGGGTGTCTCAGCAGGGCAGAGGGTCCCGCCACCCTGGGGAGCCCCTGCAGCAGGGAGGGGTCTCTCACCCACGCGGGAGTGCATGGTGCACGCGTCGTCCTGCTGGGGCGTCCAGGGGCAGGAGGCAGGGTCTGGGCTGGCTGTCCAGGGCTAGCTGGAGAGGAAGCGGGCGACACGGGCTGGCCCCGCCTCCCTCACTGCCTCGCGGAGAGGGGTGCGCAGAGATGAGGGTGCCGATCCCACAGCAGCGTGTCTTTAGAGCAGGAGGGTGAGGCAGGGCAGGGCGGCCCTCCCAGGCCTTGCTTATCAAGGTCGGGGCTCAGGGGACCCAGGCTGCCGGTCTCCAGTTAACGGTCTCTCAGCAAACACGAGTCCCCACAGGCAGCCCCGGGAGCCCACACCGCGGCCCAGGCAGCTCCCTCTCCCAGCCCTGCCCTCAGCACCCTGGCATCCTTGGCCAGGTGAGACCGAGGCTGAGCCCGGACACTCGGGTCCTGGGAGGCTCTGCCAGACCGCTGACCCACTGCTGCCTCCTGGCAGGACAGGCCCCGTCCCATGGTTCCTGACCTCTGGACCTCTGGTCTGGATGGCCAGGAGGACACGCAGGGGCCAGTGGATGCTCAGGCGGTTCACCTGCCCGGGGATCCAGACAAGCACTGGCTGGCCTCCGCTCTGCCCCTCTCACCTAGGTGTGTGTCTGTGTGGCAGTGGGGGTGCTGCCGGGCTGCCGGGCTGGTGGTCCTGGCCCACCCGTGGCCACAGAGCGCGGGGAGTTGACGAGCTCCAGACGCAACCACCCCGCACCGGCAGTCGGCCCGTGCAGCAGGGTGCCAGGGTGCAGGGGCAGGGCAGGGTGGAGATGCTGGCGTTTCCGCTCAGCCCATGCCTGGCCTCACCCTGCAGTGATGCGCTGGGTAGACCTGGGGGAGGGCCTGGCTGTGCCAGGTGGTGATGTGTGCTAGTCCCCAGGGCCAGGCACGTAGCACCTGCTCCCCAGCCCCTGAGGAATGGGAGCTGAGCTCATGGCTGGCGACAGCCCAGCACCGCCCCGCCTTCCCCTCTGGGGCCCAGCCCACCCACCTCCACTCTCACCTCGGGGAGGGGCCAGCGGTCAAGGTGGGGGTGGTTAGGAGTCCTGTCCAGTTTGGAGTGGCCTGGAGGGCTGCTTGGCCACCAGCTGGGTCAGCTCGGCAGACACTGCAGCCCTGACAGCTACACCCACAGCAGGGGGGGCCCAAGGCTGGGGACCTGCACAGACCACACAGTGCCTGTGTGCTCCTGGGTGGGGCCTCTAGCGACCCTGCTCTAGGCTTTGTCCCCTCCCTTTGCCTTTCTCCAAGTCTGAGAAAGGCCTCCCTCTCCAGGAAGCCACACCTGATTGTTCCCACGCACTGCACCTAGCCCACCCCGTGCTGAGGGCTGCTAGGCAGATGGGCTGGGTGGGGCTTTCAATGCTTGGACTCAGTCCCTGATGGGGAGGCTACCTGGCCAGGGGGCAGGGCTGGCCTGGGGGACAGTCAGAAATGCTCCAGGGGCCCTGGGTGACCACAGGTGCTGACAGCCACTCGGGAGAGGAAATGGGCTTGCAGGGATGGGGCTCTCCATAGGGCTGTCGGGGAACCCTGTCCCCCCAGCCCGCCTGCCCCTCACAGTGCCAGGCCATGTGCTCAGCATGCCCGCCCACACCATGCTCCCCAAGGCCGGCCACAGCAAGTTCACACGCCATGGCTGCTGCGGAGCCCCATGCCCACTCCAGGGTGGGCGTCATCAGCCAGAGCCACCCACAGCTCCCTGCCCTGAGCAGGTGCCCCACGTGGCCTCCTGCTGCATCCTCACAGGCTGGAGCCCCTTGGCAGCTGAGGGCGCCACCTGCCAAGGCCTGGAGACACTGCCTCCGCTCAGCCTTTGCCGAGGCTGCTGCCAGGGTAGCGAGCTCTCTGGAGGGACACCCCAGGGCTCACCGAAGGGAGAGTGTCAGGGTGGTCCCGGCCCAGGCCCTTCGGCACGTGCCACCACTGGGACTCCACTGAGCACATCACCTTGGAACCCAGGGTGACAGAACACAGCATGTGCTGGGGAACAGCTGGCTCTGCAGAACTGGTCTGGGCTGTGGCCCCACGTGGCAGCCCCCGCCATGACAGCTGCTGGCCTGAGCCTTGCAGACTGCCTAGCACTCGCTGGGGGCCAGGCCTGTCCCAGAGTGAGGGATCTGGCAAAGAGCAAGACACCCCAGCCCCAGCTCAGGCTGAGGTCCGAGAGGGAGACCTGGACGGGGAAGGCGAGGCAGCCTCAGGTGGTGAGTACTGGAGGTGGGGTGGCGGGGAGGGGCCCAGGCAGGAGGGCAGAAGCAGGAGCTGGGCTGGGACAGGCTGTGGTGACCCTCCAGATGGTGCTGACCACTCTGTCCACCAGCCTCTGGACCCACCGGCCCTTCACTGGGAAGAAACCAGGCCACGGGGGTGGGTGGGTGTAGCAGTGACAGGCCTGGACACAGGTGGCCTGCCCTGGGGACTCCAGGGGCTGCCCCACCCTATAGACCCCGCCTGGGTGGGGCCGAGTGCCCAAACAGCCTGGGACCTCAAACTAGTGGCGACCTACCAGCTGCCTCTCTGGAGTGCTGAGACAGGCAGCTGGGGGACCAGCAGTTAGCGTAACGGCTATGTTGCTCAACTCCCATGTGGTTCAAGTCCCGGGCCCGGTGGCTTAAACTCAAACCAGGTGAGTGTGCATGCGTGCCCAAGATCCCGAGGAGAAAAGGGAAGGGATTGCGGTGTGGCCATCCCCCCCCCGAGAGTGATTTCTTGCTATCTCTGTCTCTTTCTGGCAGGTGCACGCGCCCTATAGCAAAAATCTCTCAAAAATAAATAAAACCAAGACAGGCAGCTGGGTGTGCCGAGGCGGAGCTACGGAGTTAGCCCACTCTGGGTCCTGCAGCGACAGGGCTAGGCAGGGTATGCATGTCCGAGTCTGTCCCCAGAGCCCCACTTCAGACAGTCACTTCTGAGACTGGTCATTGGCCATTTATTGCGAGTTTCTCAAGGCCAGCAGCAGCTGGGTGACATGGCTGTGTGAAGGGGACGCAGGTGGTGGGGCCAAGACCCTGCAGTGGGAGCAGCAGTCACGGCGGGCCTCTCGGCCACTGTCCTGACCCTGTGCTAAGGCGAGGAGCTGCCCCAACCATGTGTGCAGACCCCACAGCCTGTGCAAGGGGCGGGTGAAGTCAGAGGCCCAGTCCTTGCTCTGACCCCTCTGGCAGGGGACCCTGGACAGGTCTGTGAGTTAGAGGCCCCAGGGGAACTGCTTCAGGAGGGAAGACCTGAGCAGCCTGGCCCTGCAGCCTGGCCCCCACCTGTCAGGAGTCCTGGCTACCTGGTGCCCCCTGCTGGCCTCAGCAGCCCCTCTCTAGCTCTTCTCGCAGGCTTGACCACTGCAGCCCAGGGGATCAAGTCCTCCAGGAGGACCCAGCAGACCCCACACCTGCTCACCCACGAGGGGCACTTCTGCCTTGGGAGGGGCCCAGGGTTCTGACACGCAGCCCCACGCCCAGCCGGTGCCCAGCTCAACTGTCTGGCTCTGGAGTCCACTCTGACAGCCATTGTAGGCATGAAGCTCGCTGCGTCTCGGTCTCAGGGCTCTTGGGCTGTGGTGGTGGGGGCCGGCCTGGCCCAGGCAGGGGTGTGGAGTTGCAGGGTCCGGGACCCCCGTCCATGGGGTCAGGGTCAGGAGAGGCCTGCAGGGCCTGCACGAGCTGCTCCAGCGGGTGCTCCAGGGTGTGGGGGCTCCAGCAGGCATCCAGGGCAGGCAGGAAGGGGTCGGGCGTGCAGGCCTCCACGCGCTCTGTCCGCGTGGGGATGCGTAGGTAGAGGGCGTGCAGCATCATGCGGAAGGGCTGGGCCTCCCGGCCCCCGGGTTGCCCGTATGTCAGGTCGCCCACCACGGGGTGGCCGAGGGCACTGCAGTGCACACGCAGCTGGTGTGTCCGCCCTGTGAGGGTGCAGGTCAGGGTGGGGCAGGGCCCTCCACGCCTGCCCCGGCCACCTCACCGCCCCCCCACAGCCTCGCAGCACCCCGTTGGACCAGACATTTCCCTTCTCCCACAACATGGAGACGATGTCAGGGGTCAGGACAAGACCCTGGGGTCACTGCCCGTGAAGGCAGGAGAGCTGTGGCTGGAGGAAGAGAGCCAGCAAGACCCCGAGCCAGGCCAGGCCAGAGGCTGCAGGCTTTGCTTGGGAGATCAGCAGCTGCTCCTCGGCGCTCCGGGTGGCCCCTGTCCCTGTCCCCTACCCTGCACACGGGGACACCCGTCCAGACACACCTGTGCGTGGCTTCAGCAGCACTTTGGAGACAGGGGCGCCCGCGTACAGCCCGTGCTCCAGCACCACCAGCTCCGTGAGGCTCGGCTTCGGGCTCTCACACCCTGTGGGCAGAGGCAAGGGTGAGAGCCAGCAGGGCCAGGCCCCGGTCACCCCAGCTCAGGATGCCGGCCTAGGCTAGCGCTGCCCTTGCAGGAACCCCGCAGTACCCGGCGTGCCCTCGGTACACATGGTGTGGGCACGGCCCTCCACGCAGCTCCTGCCGATGGCGAGGCTGATGGTCACCCGGCTCTCTTGGACGTGCCCCCGTACCTGCCAGGAGAGAGCACAGGTGGGTCGAGGGGTGGCCTGTGAGGCATGCTGGGGCACTGGGGACGGGGTGGTGCCATGAAGGCACCCCTCCCGGAGACTGGGCGAGCCTTACCAGCGCCAGGTAAGCCTTGGTGACGCGCCGCTCCTTAAAGCACCTGTAAGCACTCCCTGCAGCTGCTTTGTTCAGAGCCACACACAGCGCCCCACTAGTGGAGAAGTCCAGCTGGTGGCAGAACCTGGGGTGGGCAAAGGGTCGTGGTGCCTGGACAGGGCGGCTGAGATCCCTCTGCGGCACCCCCTGTGCCCTCAGGGCAGAGCCCAGCATGTACCTTGGCAGGACAGGGGCCAGGTGGGTTCCCTGCCCCGGCCCCCTCACCTGAACCCATAGTAGGTACCCGGGTCGGCCAGCTCCGGGAAGCGGTGGCGCAGCTGCTTCGCCACCCCCCCCCGCCACGTCTTGCTGTCAATGCGAACGTCCCAGTGCTTGTTCACCACCAGGAAGTCGCTGCTCCGGTAAACGATGGACAGGTTCTCCACGCTGCCTGGCTCCAATGCCCGCCCTGCCACACGGGGCTTGCGTGCCTGGGCCCGCCTTGTGCCCGCGGGAGACGCCGCCCACCCGCACGCTCCGGTCTGCGGCCCGCCAGACCCGCCGTGCGCAGCGCCCTGCGGCCTGAGCCTCCGTCCCCAGGCCACGCGGTCAGCTGGGGGTGGGCGGTGCGGCCACGGTGGAGGTCTGCTTCGCTCGGGGCTGCCCGTGAGGGGGGTCCCCGTCAGACCTCGCAGGCTGTTTTTCGGGTGGGCGGCGGCGAGGCGTGCCTGGGGCACCAGCGGCACAGGCCCACGCCCAGCTACTGCTGAGCACGCGCGTCCCCAGCCTCCTGCGCCGGGTGGGCACAGGCCGGGGTCCGGCAGACCCGGGCTTCGAGCACCTTCCGAGACCCCGCCCGCTCCGGAACGACCTGACGCCTGACGCGGGCCCCCAAGGCCCCCGCCGGCCCTGGATGCGGTTCCCGCGGCACCAAGCTGGGCGACACAGCTCCGGCAGCGTCCTCACCAGGCCGGGCCTGCGCGCGCCGCCCGCTCCGCCCGCCCCGCCCGCCTCCGCCGAGGACGGGCGGCCGTGCTAGCCTGTG